GCAGGAAAAGCAACTGTTAGTGGACCCGAGCATGGGGGAGCATGGGGAGGCAACAGGCAGACCCAGTGAGGTGCGCAAGGCCGCTGGCTGACCTCGGACACACATTCGCACGAAGATAAACCAGGCGAAACCGGGCAGCGAGACAGACCACACAACCCAGGGCCCCACTGCCAGGAAATAAAGCCTAAAGGCACTGATTGAAAATACTTGTGGGGGCTGAGGTGCCAAGAGAGACTCCCAGCCTCACAGGAGAGTTTGTTGGAAAGACACACAGGGTCCTAGAACATACACAAGCCCACCCACCCAGGAGCCAACACCCAATTTGCTTGTGGGAAGCAGCAGAAGGGATTCAAATCCAGGAGAGACCAGAGCAAGTGCCATTGTTCCCTCTCTGACCCCACCCCCACATACAGCATCACAACCCAGTGGCTGGGTTGCCCCACCCTGATGAACACCTAAGGCTCCACCCCTCATACATAATAGGCATGACCAGACCAAAGAAAAATGGCTCAAATGAAGGAACAGATCAAAGTTCCAGAGCCAATACATCTAAGCGACCAAGAGATAGCCAACTTATCAGATGCACAGTTCAAAGCACTGGTGATCAGGATACTCACAGAATTGGTTGATTTTAGTCACAAATTAGAGGAACATATGAAGGCTAAACTAATTGAAATGAAGAGAAATGCACAGGAAAGAAATGGTGATGGAAAGAAAACACTGAACTCAAATCAATGGAGTAGACCTGAAGGAAGAAAGAAACAACCAAACAGAAAAGAATGAACAAAAAGAATTCAAAAAAATGAGGAGAGGCTTAGGAACCTCCAGGACATCTTTAAACGCTCCAACATCCGAATTACAGGGGTACCAGAAGGGGAAGAGGAACAGCCACCAGTGGAAAACTTATTTGAACAAATAATAAAGAAATTCCCCAATCTGGCAAAGGAAATAGACTTCCAGGAAGTCAAGGAAGTTCAGAGAGTCCCAAAGAAGTTGGACCCGAGAAGGAACACACCAAGGCACATCATAATTACATTAGCCAAGATTTAAATGAAGAAGAGAATTCTAGAAGCAGCAAGAGATAAGGGGACAGTCACCTACAGAGGAGCTCCCATCAGACTGTCAGTGGATTTCTCAAAAGAGACCTTACAGGCAAGAAGGGGCTGGAAAGAAGTACTCCAAGTCATGAAATCCAAAGACCTACATCGAAGATTGCTCTATCCAGCAAAGATTTCATTTAGAATGGAAGGGCAGATAAAGCCCTTCTCAGATAAGGTCAAGTTAAAGGAGTTCATCATCATCAAGCCCTTATTATATGAAATGTTAAAGGGACTTACATAAGAAAAAGAAGATAAGAAAGATGAACAGTGAAAGGACAGCAATCTCACACTTATTAACAACCATACCTAAAAGAAAAGCAAATTAAGAGGACAGCTAGATCAGGAGCAGAACCATAGAAATGAAGATCACATGGAGGGCTAGCAACGGGGGAGAGGGAGGAGGAGAGAAGGGTGGAGAAGGTACAGAGAATAAGTAGCATAGATGGTAGGTAGAAAATAGACAAGGGTAGGGCAAGAATAGTGTGGGAAACAAAGAATCTAAAGATCTTATGACACATGGACATGAAAGAGGGGGAATGTGGGTAGGAGGGGGTGTGCAAGGTGGAGGGGAATGAAGGTGGAGATTTGAGACCACTATAATAGCATAATCAATAAAATATATTAACAAAAAAAAATACAGCCCTGGCTAGTGTGGCTGAGGGGGTTGAATGTCATACTGAAAATCAAAAGGTCCCGCCAGACCACACGATTGGGTTGTGGGCCAGGTCCCCCACTGGGGACATGTAAGAGGCAACCAATCAATGTTTCTCTCCCTCTCTTTCTCCTTCCCCTCCCCCCTCTCTAAAAATAAATAAATAAAATCTTTAAAATGAAATAAATAAAAACATTAAGTCCTATAATAGCACATACCACTGACACTGGCTAAGGAGCAAGAAGAGTTAGAAGGACATCAGTATTCTGGAAAACAAAACAGCAAATGAAAAAGGACTGAAAAAAGAGGAAATGTAACTGGTTCAATATAACTATCACGAAGGAGTGTTGTTGAGGTGAGGAAAGGAAAGGAGGAGGAAGAGGGGGAGAAAAGTGGTTAAGGATGACCAAAAATGATGCTATAAAAATACACTGTGAGAATTTCACTGTAATTTGACTCATATTAAGGAAATAATTAACAGAACAGAGTGACATTTAAACTACTATGAAAAGCATACTCCATTTATTCAAGGAGGTAGACAAGAGGGCAAACATGTAAAAAAGACACTGGACATGTCTCCATACACAGGCATGCACCTGTGTGCACACACACACACACCCCTTCTAAAAATAGAAAATAGTGTCTGAGATGAAAAATTCACTGGGTAGATAAACAATATAGTGGATACTGCAGAAGAAATCATTAGAAAACAAGAAGAGGCACCAGCAGAAACTACAGCTATGGTACATTTATACAAAGGAATACTACCCAGCCATAAAAAAGAAAACTTTAACCTTTGCAAAAGCATGGATGGACCTGAAAAACATTATGCTAAGTGAAATAAGCCAGTCAGAGAAAGACAAATACCATATGATTTCAGGACAATGTATGAATCAGGAAACAAAACTGCAAAGTTTTAGAATACAGGGAACAAAGCCAACACTCTACTGGATGCAAAAGAGAAAAACAAGCCATATACAAAGAAAAAGGTATCAAAATGGCTTCAGACCCTTCAACCATAACACTAAACCAGTGCCTTCAAAATTCTGAATTACTATTATTTACAAACAAGTATTATTACCCAGCCAAATTATAATTCAAGAATATGGAAGAGCCCTGGCTGGTGTGGCTCTGTGGATTGAATACCAGCCTGGAAAATGAAGGGTTGTTGGTTCACCTCCTGGTCAGGGCCCATGCCTGGGTTGCACACCAGGTCTCTGGTTCACAGTGTACAAGAGGCAATCATTTGATTTAAAAGAAAATAGAAAAGAATATGAAAGAATAAAGATATCTTTAGACAAACAGGGTCTACCACACATCTCTTTTCAGGAAACTTCTTAAGGACTTACTCCATCAACATGAGCACATAAAGCAATATGGGCAAAAGAGAGGGATGGGGCACTCTTTTTCCATCTTATGTATTCAGGTACATATATAACTGTGATGAAAACAAATCTAAACAAATTAACCAAACACAATAAAGGAGATATGCATAATTTTTGCAAGTCAAAATTGAACGTTTAGATATGTGAAATCATATTTTAAAACCTAATAGTCTTTAAAGTAAGCATATTATTGTAGATGGAGGATTTCTTTTATCCTTACCCACGTATATTTTTTAATTGCTTTGGGGGGAGAGGGAGAAACAGAGGGAAAGAAACGATTGGTTGCCCCCTGTACATGCTCTAACCAGGGATGATTGAGCCCACAACCTAGGTATGTGCCCTGACCAGGAATCAAACCTACCCCCTTTCGGTGTACAGAACGACATGCTAACCAACTGAGACACACCAGCCTGGACAGAGGAATTATTTTTTTAATTAGACAAAGTAAATTAAACTTACTAAATTCTACTAGCAATATTAACTTTTACAGCTTTGCTGAGAAAAGTTGAGCATTAATAATTGATGTAAACAAGAGGTTTGTAAATGAAATGCAACAAAAATCTGCCTCTGTCCATTACATACAAAAGAAACAAAGACACGGAACAATCCTTAAGCAATAAAGTTGTTCTTGATTTTAACCATCCACAAAGCTGACTACTCAAAAAACCTTCCAGGAAATAATGTTCTATACTCTTCTTTGTCAAAAGATTTCACCAAAACACAAATGCAACAGACAATGGAGCAAGAGGAAAGTGCAAAGGAGAGAGAACATAGAGCTGGTATCTGTATATTTCACACAGTTCAACAACAAGGAGAAAAATCTCCCCATGACTTCAGGATACTGTTACCTTACCACCTCCACCATTCCTGTTACAATTAAGCAGATTTAATCACTGCCTTAATCTTTAACATTACTTATGCATACAATAATGCACATGGTAGTTTTAATAAACATCATTCTCAACAATTTAGGGAATGAATGAGAATTAACTGCTTAAAGAAGTATTATGAGGAAGATTCCTCAACTTCTGGCTAAACTTTATAAACACAATAGAATTAAAGTATTTTAAAATCCTCTTTTAAAAAATATCCTGAAGTATTCAAATAATATTAATAGGACTATTTTTAGTGCACATATGAAAACATGGAGTGAACACAGACAAGTTAATGAGAAAACAGAACCTTTAGAAAGCTCAGATCATTAGGCATCCAAATAGCAGATTTAATTTAAAAATGTACTTTATTTTAAAAAATAATAAAAACAAAACACGATTTTTAAATACAACATTAAAAAGCATTCATTATTAAAGCAGAGATCCAAGGTCAAAAGCCAGAAAATATTCTTCTGACATAGCTGGAAATACAAACAGCACGCTCATCTATAATGAAGATAATGACGAAAAACCAAGCTCTCCAAGGCAGTAAGTATAATTGAGAAGAAGAGAAGAGACACAAGAACAACAGAGACCTAGGGAATACCCAGAGAAGAAAGGTGAACCAGAAACTTAACAAAAGCAGCAGTAAGCAAGGAAGGGGTCTGGGAACAGCGATGCCATTCAAACCAGGAGAGAAGCGGGCTTCCAGAAAGAGCCAGCCAAGTCAGAGGCTAACCCAAGATCAAAGAAGAAGAAGATAAATCAAAAACACAGCAGAAAGTGAATGGCCATATTGAATTGGTTAAGATTACCTACTTCCATCTCAACTGACAAGACTAAGAGTTTATCTTGCGGGGAGGAGGAGAAAAGGTATAGACACTTAGAGGAAAACAGACTTTAGTTATCATTCTTGCTGTCGTCTGTAGTCCAAGACCAATAAAAGAGAGACTTTCTGAATGATTTGTTTCTTCTAAAAGGATACACTCACCAAACTGTGGAGCAGGCAAGATTCTGGCCGCCCGAATTGGGCCATGTCGAACGGAAAAGAGCTCCTGAGCTTCCCCACTGATCTGCATGGAAAACAGAAAAAAGATTGCAGTAAATGAAAACACAGGTCAGTACACAATCGATCATATGAAAATAAGATTCTTAAGTGTTATCATAATTTATAATCTGAAATGTAATTCACACATATATACATTTATGGTTGATCATACACATTCAATATATTCATATCCTAAGTTATTTTTAAAAATTAATAGAGCATGCACTTGATATGAATAGAAGAATAACTGGTCTGCCCTGAAGTCCATAATTTTTATCTTTAATAAATGACTAAGTCAGTTCAGTTCCTACATGACTGCCTTCCCTTTTAAAGCAAAGCAACTACGTTGTTGTTGTTGTTTTTTTAATTAGTATCCAGTTTTCTGTGTAAGTAAAAGATAAATATTCTTAAATATTTTTTGCCCTGGCTGGTGTGGCCCAGTGGATTGAGTGTCAACCTGTGAACCGAAGGGTTGCTGGTTCAATTCCTAGTCAGGGCACATGCCTGGGTTGCGGGCCAGGTCCCCAGTAGGGGGCACACAGGAGGCAACAGGTTGATGTTTCTCTCGTACATCCATGTTTCTCTCCCTCTTTTTCTCCCTTCCTCCCCTCTCTCTAAAAATAAATAAAACCTAAAAATATTCTTAGTTATTTTTAAAAGAAGATCTTAAATGTTGTACTGACTTTCACAAATATGTAGTAAAAGAAAAGGCAAAATATATTGCAAACAACACTGAACTGAAATGTCAATGACCCAGTTACCAGTTATGGTTCTGTAACTAACTAGCTATTAACTGACCTGATACCTGTTCCTTATCACATTTCTAGTATCCAATGCAGTATAATTCCCTACAGTCATCACCCGTGAACACTTGATCTCTGCACTTATCCACGCTACAGAACTCCAACTTTGCTCCACTTGACCAACACCTTCCCACTGCCCCCACTGAGAAGGTAAAGGTGCTGAAAGACATCAAACATACTTTTAATTTCCAAATTCAATGAATAAAAGGGATAGGTAAGCATCACTAAACATCCTCATTTTCATTATACACATGACACTGCCTGAATGCCCATTCATTTTGAGTCCTATGAGATTTATTCCTCAGATATGAAGAGTACAATAATCCATTAATCCAAAGGCAAAGGGAGTATGCTAATACATGTGTCAAGCACACAAAAACAACTGTTTTTCAAAATTAGTGGTTCAAAAGAAAGTTTACTGCTAATTGGAACAGATTAAATTTGAGTTAAGAAAGCTTTCCAGACTACTTTAAGTAGTAATGTAGTTCCCAATACACCTCAACAGTTGTCAAGTGTTCGATGGAATATGTAATATCCGATAGGGAAAAAGGGAAACATTATACAACTAGTTCTAAATATCCTAGAACTTATAACAAACATAATAATGATAAACATTTAATAGAGGAAACATGCTGATGGTATCTTTTTTAAAAACAGGCCTGCCAGACAAGCAGTTTAAAATATCAACAGTGTATACATTATAAAATAAAAGGCTTATAAATCTTCCAATATTAAAATATAAGGTTGTAGAACTGCCTTTTATATTAACTACTTTTTTAGATCTTCATCTTCTCTTCTATCATAATTTAAGTGCTCTAATCTATAATATTTTTGTTTCTTATAAATGTTAAATTATGGTAATGCCTAAAGAGCCATCATATTCATTTTCCTTATAAAAGTCATTATAACCTATTTATTGGCCGCAATGGCAAATCCGTGTAATAGCACCTGGGACGCAGAGGACAGAGGGAACGCTAGACTCTCCCAACTAACTGTGCAACAGCACCACCTATCACCAATCAGACACACGGAGGTTATAAACTCAGCATAGCAAACTCTAAGATTCTCCTCTCTACAAATTCCTCTGTGAACACTAATTTGTCAATGAAAACCAGGGCCATTAGATACTGCAGCTTTTAGTCTACATTTGTTATTATTATCAAATAAAATGTAAAACTGGAAAAAAAAACCCTTGCTTTAAAAGTTACTTTGTTCAATCTCCCACCCAAAGAAGTAATCATACATTCTCTGAAATCTAAAAATCACCAAATCTAAAATCTTTTATTTTAAACACACTTTTACTGAAAGGTCTATCGCTAATGTAATCAATTACATTACAGATGTACTACTGGCTCTCCCCACCAAAGCTTCGAAGTCATTTACTTTATGAAAATAAATCATCTCTTAGGCAATGGATATTCTTCTGCAACACACATACTATTTCTATTAAACAGAAAATAAAAAATAGAACTTGTTGGGAGAGAGGGGAAGGGGACTAAATGGCAATGGGAAAAATATAATAAAAATAAACATAAAAACTAGAAAATACAATTTGCATTGAATTTATAATTAGGATAATGAAAAACACTCCTCACTATCACAAATAAGGTTTATACCTATAACAAATCATAGTATTCTAACACAAAATCTACTCTATACTATTATTTCCATATGCCACAGGTCTAGCATTTAACTTTTAGTCCCACCAAATAAAACCCTAAAGTTTAAAAAGATTAATCGTATTTAACTGAGCTCCTGTACTAAATTACACTAAAAAATAAAGAATAAAACAAACCTGTCTTGGCATGCTCACAATACAATACATGTTTGTTATCACTGGATTAATACACAAGAGCTTACTGTGATACACAAAAACATTTTGAAATCTGAACACACAATGCTTCTCAGACTAATGGCTTTCAAAACAAACCTAAATGCCAGCTTCTACTCTAAATCCTTTTTTAAATGTCCACCAACAGGTAGAAAAAAAGCATTAGGACAGATTATAAAATGCACCCTCACATTCATTACCTATCCTTCACTGCTTGTAAGTTAAGTTCCTAGAAGCTTTGTTTAATTATAACATAAGGGAAGGAAGAGGGGAAGAAATATTCTGTCACTACTTGTAGATATTTGTGAATATGTTAAATCGAGACTGTTACCAGCATAGTGTAAAGTATCCTAAGTGAGTCACAAATGTCAAACTTCCCGGAGGCAAGAACTCTGTATGTGCAAATCCTATACTGGATGACTATTTCCGAACAGACAGTGCTACTGAATTGTATACAGATGAGATGTGCACATTTTAGAAAGGACACAGAGAGGATGGACATGTTCTGCTTTAGCTGCCGTTTTCAATTGCCTCTAGTATTTTCTACATTGTGTTCACTGGTAATTTTGCTCTCAAATAAATAAGTGTCAAGACTGATTACATTTCTAAAGGCTTTCAAAGTGATTTTTAGGTTTCTTAAAAAGAGCTCATTGAAAATGGCAAAGAACCTCAGAGATGAGGATTTTATAGATCCTGAATAGAATTACCAGGAGCTGTAAATTCACTTTTAAACCAACAATAATAATAAATCCAAGGGTAGAACTAGAAGGAAGGAGTATATCAAACAACGTTCCACCTTCCTGGCAACTGCGGTTACTTGGGGAGAGGAGGAAACTTCTCCAATAGCTCCTCCTGGGTCTCTGCCTTTGTTCTTACTGGCATTTTAATTTCTGATGACAGACTTTTGTTGTTTGGAGCATAAACCGGACGTACCAGTTTGGAGGCACAATAAGGAGAACAAAGAATGATTTGTTCACACTGTAGGAAAAAAATCTTTTCCAACCATAGAAAATAGCTTTCGTATGGTGAAAATATGCAAATTACATACCAAACCAAAAAAGTTGGGGGGAAAGTACAAGTTTAGAATCTCACAACTCAATCTAAGGCAAAAGGAAATTATAACAGCCGAGACAATAATACACACAGAGAAAAAGCTATAAAAGTTGTGGGAGAGCTTTTAAGTACTTTTAGAGAATTCTAAAAGCAAATGAAGGTCATCTAGCCCTCAGAACCAAACTTGTCTTTGAAACCCCCATAACTTTTCAGACACATCTGACTACAACATGGAAAATTTAATCAAAAACCAAGGACAATAATGATAATGCTTTACAACGGCGCAGAATGAGGACAAGAGTACTTATTTACAGCTCAAACTACCCTTTTATTTATTTATTTATTTATTTTTTTAAATAAGGTCTCAGTTTGTTTTTTCTAATTGATTTTTAGAGAAAGAGAGGAAGGCAGGAGAGAGAGAGAGAGAAGCATCAATTTGCTGTTCCACTCATTCATACATTCATTGGTTGCTTCTAGCATGTGCCCTGACCAGAGATCAAACCCACAACCTTGGAGCATTGAGACAATGCTCTAACCAACTGAGCTATCTGGCCAGGGCTGTTGTTCCCCACCCCACCCCCACCCTACCCCCCACACCCCCTGCCAACTACCATTTAGGCACTGGTCAAATAGAGAATTGTGGTCTGCAACTGATTCTTTTTAGCAAACACCATCATAAGATAACAGGTATAGTAGAAGTAACACATAAATCATATGTATATGTACAAGTTAATAGATTTTCAATGTTGATGCACCTCTGCTACCCTCACAGACAACAAACAGAACATATGGATACTCAGAAGGTCCCTCCATGCCCTTCCTAGTCACAAAGCCATCTCAAGAATAATTTTAACCACTATCCTAAACTTGTAATACTTTATATAAGTTTTACTCGCTTAGGTTTATTTAAATGAAAACACATATTGTATACAGTACTCCCCCCCTGACTGTGGAGCTACAATTCCAAGACCCCCCATGGAAGCCTGAAACCATGGATAGTAGTACTGAATCCTGTACATAAATTACGTTTTTTCCTATAATATATACCTATTGTAAACTTAATATGTAAATTAGGCACAGTAAGAGAACAATAACAATAATAATAAAATAGAGCAAATATAACAACATACTACAGTAAGAACTGTGTGCCAATATATGTGTTTCAGGTTATCCTTTTTTTTAAACAGATTTTATTTATTTATTTTTAGAGAGAGGGGAAGGGAATGAGAAACAGAGGGGGAGAAACATCAATGTGTGGTTACCTCTCACACGCCCCCTACTGGGGACCTCGCCTGCAACCCAGGCATATGCCTTGACTGGGAATCAAACCCATGACCC